AACAAAAAAGGAGATAAATCATACCCATAGATTATACACTAAATATAAAAATTAAAAATAATCTCAATCTAAATCTAAGAACATTTATTTTGTGTAAATATATAGGATTATTCTGAAATTTATTTGTAAATTCAAAGAACTTTTTGAATACATTCTTCTTTTGTACTGGGAATTACACTCAAGATCTTGTGTTTTCTAGGCAGGCGCTGTACCACTGAGCTATATTCTGCCCCTAATGCATTCTTAAGGGGAAAAAACAACAAAATTGAAAAGTTTGTATTACATGATTACAGAACTTACTAAGAAGCTATGGTAACCAAAATAGTATGGCAAAAAAAATGGTAGACAAATTGATAGAAGAATGAAGCACAGAGCTCAGAAATAGACTCAGATATATAATCATTTGATTCTCAATAAAGTTAAAGAAATTTAATTAAGAGAAATGTCTTCAGCAAACAGTGCTGAGATAACTGAATAAATATATGGGAGGCAGAGGAATCTCAACCCTACCTCACACCACACAGAAAGCAGAGACAGATCATGAACCCAAATGCAAAAGCTAAATTATAAAAATCTATAGAAAATAACATAGGAGAGTATCTTCACTACCTGGACAGAGGCAAAGATTGTTGCATTCCAGCACTTGATGTTTTATCACAGTTGGTGTCTTTGAAGTATTTGTCAAATACATACACACAAATGTACTTCCGAGGCACAAGATGTCTCTGCTTGCTGTCTTCTTTATGGCCTTCCTTAGCTGCACTCCCTTTCAGAACATACAGCACTCGCAAAATACATTTCCACCTTGTTCTTGTGCTTCTGGGAAACAGAGAGAGGGGTATGCTCTCCATTTCACAAATGAGGAAATTGCGGCTAAAGCAACGTGCATGCCACAACTGATAGAGTCCATTGCTTCTTATAAGTAACACTGCTACTGCTAATAATAATCAATAAAGGCTACTTTATATTGAGTGACTAAACTATATCAAGTCCTCCTATAGTGTTATATTCTACCCAATAGCTGTGCTAGATCCGGCTCATACTAGCTTGTAAGAGTCAATCATTAAATTTTTTTAAAATACTTTCACTATTAAGAATTAAGAGGGTCTGGCCAGATAGTTCAGCAGACTAAAGCGCCTGCATAGGCAGAGCACAGTGGCCTGGGTTTGATCTTTGACATGCTGTGCTGGCCTCAGCCCTGGGGCACGCTGAGATGGCAGTTGAGACTGGGCATGGTGGCATGCACCTGTAATCCCAGCACTTGGGAGGCTGAAGACAGGAGAATCACTATGAGTCCAGTCTATGCAGTGAGAGCCTAGAGACCCTGTAGACCCTGTACCAAATATATTTTTTAAAAAAAAGAATTGTGCTTTAAGTATATAAATGATTATGTATATTGAAAATAAGTTATCAATGCTCATCACTTCCCAATTATTTTATTATTGTCTGTGGTTCTTGAGGTCATTTTGCTATTTTCTTTGGTAAAAACGCTACCATGCATCTCTACCTGTGATGATTAAACTTGATTGGCTTGGGAGCTGCCCAAGGGAACACTGGAGTGCATTTCTTGTTGGGCCTGGCTGGTCTTGGCGGTGTGACCTGGAGAACTGCATCTGTTCTTCGTTTTTCCTCCTTGGTTCTGCTCCCCTGATCTACTTCTTGGCCTCATGAAATAATCAGCTTTGCTTCACCACGTCCTGCCACCATAACATTCCTATCTTAAAGCCTTCCAACCACAGACTGAATCCACTAAAACTTTGAGCTAAAGTAAACTTCTCTTTTTTTAAATTTTATTTATTTATTTTGTATTTAGTGCAGAGTCTACAGGGTCTACAGGGTCTCACTACACAGATCAGATTTGTAGTGATTCTCCTGCTTTCAGCTTCCCCAGTACTGGGATTGCAGGTGCACACCACCATGCACAGTCTCAATCACCATCTCAGCACACCCCAAGGGTGGGGCCAGCGTGGCAGGCCAGGGATCGAACCTCCGACCCCTGCATCTGCCGAAGCAGGCGCTTTAATCTGCTGTGATATCTGGCTGGTGCTAAACTTCTCCTCTTTTGATTTGTAGGTGTCATAGCATGTTTTAGTTGCAGTAAAGCTGGAAAATTGTACCACACAAGTGGTACCACCACTATCACTTGGTGTGGCTCTACTTGACCACCATCATTCTCACTTTTGAGCAGTCAATCCTCTTCTAACATGGACAAAGCCAGTTACCCTGGCTTATTAATAAATGGGCTGCAGATCTGCTCCTCTCCAGTCTGGGGATCTTTTTTGGTTGGGAAATAATGCTCTAATTCTTTTTGAAGCTGAGAAAGGTCATAATGAGCCTTGGCTCAGACCCTCAGAATCTCTGTCAACATCTGAAACACAACAAGAACCTCAATCCACTCATCACTCCTATGATTCCACTTTGGTTTTGAATGCATCCATTTTATCTTTTGGCTGGAACATGGTTGTCATTCTGCTCTGACATGACAGATTGAGTTCATTGAACTGGTGGGATGCGTTACACTAGCAACCAAGTTTTGGGTCCTGTTCTTTGTCACTGGAATGGGCTGCCAGGGATGACTAAAAGAAATCTTTGAAACAGTTCTCATTGTTCAAAAATATCTAGTCCCTGATCTACACTTAGAAAGTCAACTCATTTCTGAGTGTAAGAGAAGATGTGTGAGCTCTGCACCCAACTCCTCAAGAGCTGCATGAACACATGTGACATAAGAGCATGTACTTCAATGTGGCTGATAAGTTTAATCACAGAATAAAAAACATTGTTCAGTTCAGGTGCCATTTTTTGGCTAGACTCCATTTCTTCGTGGTTGATATAGTAAGTAGACGCACATTCAGAAGTGATTTCTCTGACCTGAGTAGTGAAAAAAAGAAAACTGTCCAGTCATGACAGCTGCTCTGTCAATGCATATACTGATACAAAATGCCCAAGGCAGGTTTCCTGATATGTAATCATTCAAAGTCTTCCTGCATTTATGGGGCTTGTTGACAACAAAAGTACATGTAACATCCTCATTCATATCCTCCAGAAAAACATATAACAAAAGCCATTGTTGCCTAGTTGTCAGCATCAGTAGACTCAATCTGGATTGTATACCATGGTGCCTCGTTAATCTTCTCTAACAATAGTGCCTCAATATCCTCTACTATTTCATCAATATACCTACTTTTGGTACTAGCTAAAGAAGGAAAATGTGTCATTTTTTGAACTATGATCTCTCCTAAAATTTCACAATAAATGTCCTTAGCAGCAGGCAGGATCAACTCTTCATCAGTAGTAAAGGGCTTCTTAGCAGTAGCAATGTAGTCAGGCACTAAGAACAATACTCTTGGTGCAGGTACATGTGATGAAGTAGTGGCCTTCAACAATTGCTTCTCTTTTTCATGCTCATGTTTTTTCTTTCTAAAAAAAAAAAAAAAAAAAAACTTCAGGCTGGGAGATAGTTTAAGTGCCTACCTGGAAAGCACAAGGTCCCATGTTCGGTCCCCAGTATGATATGTCATGCCAGCCCCAGGTTCCCGGGCACTCTGTGCCAGCCCTGTTATAATCCCAACACCAGGGAGGATGAGATAGGAAGATCACTACAAGTCAAAACTGTGTAGCAAGACCCTGTACCAAAAGAATAAATTTTTAAAATATTTTTTAAAAACCTCAAAATCTTATCTTTTAATGCAACATGCTTGATCTCAATGTGGAAAACCATTCTGAAGGAATTCTAGCTTCATTGACTAGCCAG